GGGCCCATGGACACTTGGATGGCATGGGCCAACGAAGACCCATCCAAACTGTCGTGAAAACGTACCTGCTTGGTGCACCTGGGCGCATTATGAGACGCAGCTGGTGGCCACCCTTCTTCCTTTTGTAAAGTGCTAGTGAGCTCCGCAGACTTGCACGTCACGACGTCATCTTGTCGGTTCGTCGCTCGTCTTTTTCCCTTTGGGCCCTACTTCCTCTTGAAGACCTCCAGGATCCAGTGGTTTATCACGAAAGCTAGCCTTAGCTAGCTGGAGTTGCTCTTGCTTTAGCAAGTTAAGTGACAGGGTGGACGCACCTCAGAAACCTCAAATAATTGATTAAATCAATCTTATGGACCCCCCCCCCCCCCCCGGCCGCCCCCCCCCGCGCGGGGAGCGGGACCACCAAGCAGCTGCAGCACACCAAGCATCTGCAGCGCCCAGCGCAGCAGCGGCAGCAGCAGCAGCAGCATACCCAACGCCGCGGCAGCAGCAGCCGCAGCAGACCACCCAGCGCCAGCAGCAGCAGCAGCAGCAGACGACCCGGCGCCTGCAGAGCACCCAGCGCAGCAGCGCCCAGCGCAGCAGCGGCAGCAGCAGCACCAGCAGCAGACCACCGGAAGCCCGGCTAGCTTTCGTTCACCCCCTCTGGCCTCAAGTACATGTACCCTTAGGAAATGGAACCCTAGGCCGGCGTGTGGCACCGCTTTCAGTTCAGTACACCCTATCCTAAGTGTGTCACATGTGACCATGTTGTGGGTTGTTGCGTAGTACCGTTTGCTTTTGGGCAGCAGCAGCAGCAGGTGAGTTGGAGCCTGACATGGCACCCGGGCCGGTGAAGGCAGTGCCCCCGGCAGGAGCCTGAATGATGTTTTTCGTTTTTGGGGTGGCCAAGTTGGGGAGATGAAGTGGTGAAAAGGTTTGTGGCGAGTTTCGGATGGAGTTTTTTGATGTTTTTGGTTGGGTGGAAAGACGTCGAGGATATTCCTTTCCGTATCATGCACTTG